GTCGAGTCTTTGAGAAAACATCTACTTTCTTTATTTGTTCGGTAGTTTGTGAGTTTGAAGTTATATATGCTTCTTCTCTTGCGTTGTCTTGAGAATATACGATACGACCATTTGCAAGGATTTGATATCCAGCAACTGCATAGAAAGCGTCATCGAAACCAATCCAAAATCCTGGTGGGTTTGTTTTATTGGAACCTGAAACAATTTCTTTATCTACAATAAATTGACCTTCCATTTTATACGTAATGAATGTATTGTAAAGGTCCAACATATTTTCACCAGGAGGTGAGAGATTAAATGTTACCCATGTGTTATCTTTAGCAGTTCCAGGTTGTGATGGAATCTTTGCGTCAGAATATTTTCTATTAGTGTCACCAATTTGAACTGCATTGTCTATGATATCGAAATATGAGCGAATCTGATGAATATGCTCTGCTGGAGTAAATTCGTTTAGCTGTTCGTTCTGCATGTATTTACTTCAGATAAAAATATCTATTTACTTCATTATTCTCACTCTTCTTCTTGGAATTCGTGGTGGAAGTTGTTTCTTGACATTTTTAATGAACTGTACATTCTCTTTTGTCTCAACTTCTTTCACTAGTGGGTCAGGGTTCTTTGACTCGGTTTGCTTTTCAATGAAATTCACGAACTTTGCAATAAGCTCTTGGTTCGTTATTGAAAGTACATCTGGCTTCTTTTCTTCTTGTTCTTTTGGTGGTTCAGTTTGAACAGAAGGTTTTATATGGGCTTCGTGGTCTTCACCCTTGCCATGCACCTTAATGTTGTCGCTCTCTGCATTCGCTAATGGAACCTTTCTTTTTCTTACGTATATTTTACCATCTTTACTCTGACTTACATAATAGAAAGGATGTTGTATTCCTCTTGCGTCATTTAATATAATAGACTCTCGCTCTGATTTTGACAAGCTCATTTTACATCGGTTAAAGTTTTAATTTTGTTTTTATCTGCAATCAAATGACTCAGACAAGCCCGGACAAGACCCAAGGGTTATAGATGTTGAAGCATTGAAGAAAGAAATTCGTGAGCAAATTTTATCCGAACTGAAGGAACAAAAACAAGAACAAAAGCCAGAGAGACCAAAGAGAAAGTTAAGTGAAAAAACAACTTGCTGCATTAGCTGCTGGAAGACAAAAGAACCAAGACTACTGGCGAAAAAAGCTAGAGAAGAAGCTGAAGCAAAAGCTAAAGAAGCTGAAGTGAAGAAAGAGTAAATGGTTTATTTTTATTGGAACTAAATGTATAGACAAATACCTTTATCTGTTGCGTTCAGTAGTGAAAACCCTGACGTCAAAATAAAGGGGAACAGAGTAACGTTTAAGTTTCCAACAGACTGGATTGTGAACATAAATGAAGAGAAGTACATTGGCATAACATCTATGTATATAACAGTGCATTTAGGAAAGTTGACTTTATACTTCAAGTCGAGATAGAAAATGACGAACAGTCTTTAAGCGCCCAAAATTCACATATACAAATACTTTAAAGACGATACAACATTGTTGCAATGTATGATTTCATTTAATGAGATGTTCGAGAAAAAGTTCAACATTGAAGTACAAACTTTACAGCCTTTACGTGAGTTTCTTGCACAACTGAAAGAAGAAGGTAGTCAGCCACAACTTATAGACTTTCATTATGAATTTAATGAAAATGAAGATGGAACACATGACTGTCAATTCATTGTATTCTCACCATTCAATGAAGTCGCTAAAGAGAAAGAAAATCCATTACGTATAAGATTTCAAATCTCCGAACCAAGTGATGATTTTAAGAATGTTTTCAATTATGATGCAATGCTTCGAGGAAAAATGAATTTTCAAAGATTGTAACACCTGGCATTTGGGATAGAAAGCAAGCTATATTATATTCAAACTTAAGTAAGGGAGTTGAAAATGAGTTCATTGGTCATACAAGAACTTCACCACTTCCTAACCCTAAATACTATAAATTAACTGCTTCAATCGTGAGTTTTGGATAGACATGTTCTCCACTCATGACCATAACTGCCCAGTGTTCTTACCTCCAGACCATAAGGACTGTCTCTATATTGAAGCACAACTCTTAAACTCTACCATCGCAGTATTGTAAAATCTACGCTAGCTTTATTTTTATCACGAATGACCTCATTGCTGACAAAAATAAATGACCTCATTGCTGACCTCATTGCTGACCTCATTGCTGACCTCATTCATGACCTCATTCATGACCTCATTGCTGACAAAAATAAATGACCTCATTGCTGACAAAAATAAATGACCTCAGAACTTCAACTTACGAATAAAGCTTGTTTTAGTCGTTATTGAGAAGTTAAACTTCTCTTCAAAGCAAGGTTGACATGACTTACATAAGTCAAATCCAATCTCTTGACCATCATGAAGTGCTTTATATAACTGCATGACACTGAACTCAGAGTCTTTGTCAAATTTTCCTTGCGGAACCATTAAACCTTTATCTTCATCATAGAAACACTGAACAGAGTCAGGAAACATTTCATTAGCGGTTAAAGCAATAACATCTTGCTTCACGCCTTTCATTCTGCAGTGAAATGCAACTTCATTTAAATCGTTAGTGAGTAAGTCTATGTAGGTCTTCTTTCCACAAAATATTGACTTGTATGCTAAACTTTGTTTTCCAGGTGTTATTTCTGCGAAGTCAGAATGAAATTGACCTAATGTTTTACCAATAAGTTCTCTACCGTATCTCTTCTTAAATTCATGAGCTAAACGTGGTATGTCTTCATTGTAAATGTGCATCGAATCTGTATCCTGATAAAATGCTTTTAATCCTAAGTCTTCAATCGTGCAAAACACTTCACACATTATTCTCTTCGACATAGATAGAATATTAACACCAAGTGGACAGAAGTTAAAGTGTCTGCAAATGCTTTTCGTTAGCTTGAAAATAGTTTTATCTGAACCATCCAAACCTTCGAACTTCACTATATGGTTGTAGTTTCTGATGGCATATCTTATAGCATCTTTGTCATTTACTATGGTTATTTTTGACTCAATAGGAGATAGAATAGTTTTGCCATAAATACTGTTCAGAATGAGTTTTATAATTTCTTGCAAAGGATTTCCTTCTTTCTTATACTTTAACCTTAACTCAAACAACTTCTTTACTTCATCTCTTATTCTAATATCTCTGTTTCCATCGTAATAGTATCCTTGCAACACTTCACATTTGACACCTTGATATTTTATGAGGTCTTGTAATGTTATATGGTCAAATACATTAAACAGCAAGTGTTTGAACTTCTGGAACGTTAAGTTCTGGATTTAGTTCAGGTCACAAACTATTAAAGGAAAGTGTCTATGTATTCCAATCTCTGTTATCTTAATGAGAACAAAGAAGCCAGACATAAACTTTTCACCAATGGGTTCCTTTTGGTCGTCATCGAATAAATGTCTCATGAGATACTCTGTGCTTAACATTTCTTTCTTCATAACCTTTGGAATACCTTCTAAAGTATAAAGTCTTGCTATAGCTGATGGATATAATGAAACAGCGTCGAAGTCAGCAATGAGTTTCTTTTCGCTCTTTTGTTTCATGTTATCTGACAACATACATCTTCCACCTTGAATACAGCGCGAAATAAATTCTCTTGGTTTATTTGAGAGGTCATAAAGATTTCCATTCGGGAAGTATACTCTGTTCTCAAACAATTTGTTAGCAATTGAACAAATGCTAACGTAGTCATAAACGTTTAAATCAAACTCTTTCAATAAGTCATTGCGGAACTTTACAAAACCTTCTCTTAAAATTCTTACATCTTGTTTGCAGTAAAACGTGCTATATTTTTCTAAATCGAAATGGTTTTCATCTATTCTGCAACCTTTGATGGAATCTATGTTTTTCATAAATGTATCTGCATCCTGGATAAACTTACATGCTTCAGAAATGACACCAGTTCTGTTGTCATTTGCTAACAAACCACTGCTGTAGTAGTTGTATGGAAATACTTCTTTCGGTCCTGTTTGTAAGTTAAACATAGCAGGAAATAGTTTAAGCTTCTTATTTATAACACTGTAAGAGTCTTTTATAATAATTGCCCGTCCTTTATATAAACCAGTTATTTGCATTGTTCGTGAACCTTTAATGATGGGAGTTCCTTTCACTTCTGTCATGTGTCTTAAGATGAAGTTTATATCATAGCTGAGGTTATGGAAATATATTAAACTCTTGTCAGGAAGTCGCTCCAAAAATTCTGTTGCACAGTTTTGACCCCATATGCTTTGACTCACTGAACCATCTTCACTGTCATAACAAATGTGAAAGGCTTTATGAAAGCCGTCAGTGCTACACTCAAAGTCAGCAAAGAAAACGTGCTCAGGAATGAACTTGCACTTATTTTTATTTACTTCTTTTGACTCGGCTTTCTTCTTCAGTTGTACACAATACTTTGGAGCATATGACAAATCTTTAAATGGTGCAAGGTTCTGTTTATATAAGTCAGTCGTATATGTGAAAAGTTCTCCATAAGAAATAGGCTCGAAATATTTGCACTCCCACAATGTTTTCATAACATCCCATAGCGGTGTAGTTCTATCCATGCGAACTACATATTTATCTTCTCTCTTTGTATAAATCTTCATCTGTTTCTCAATGTTCATTCCACCACACTCCTTCAAGATTTCTATATAGTTGCGAATGAAATATGTTGTCATTGGTAATCTTTCATTTAGCATGTAGTGGTCTTCAACAAGAAGTAAGTCAATAGTTCGAACAGTTTTACATTCTTTTGGTATGTATCTCTTTATTTCATTATGTCTTGAGTCATTGAAGTAACCAATGGTAACATTAAATGCTATACCTGTTGCGTCAGAAATTTCTTGTACTTTACTTTGAGGAAAGTCTCTAACACGAATGACTTCTCTCATGTGGTCAATAGTTTCTTCATTTACTCCAGCCTGAATGCAAGCATAAACGAAACAATTGTCTTCTGTCATAAGTGCTGCAGTTCTTTTGTTCAGTTCATTGAAGATTTGGTAGCGTTCAAGATTTATAGGTAATGTGCAAAGATACTTCCAGAACTGACCGCTTCTCTTCTTATAAAACTTCTTTTCACCATTATCTTTCCAAAAGCTTTCTATAAGTGCTGGGTTTCCTGTTTGCTTAAGAGCTTCCAAAATGGCTTTCTGGTCATTTGTCAGCGTGCTTTCATCTCTATATGGTCTCTTTTTTGGTTTGCCTTTCTTTACATCTGACATCGTTAAGCCTTCATATTCTGTTAAATCATACATCTTTATTTCAGTAAGATTCTTTATGTTTGTCAAGAAGAAGTCATAGTGCATTTCAACAATACCTGCAGCATTTGCTTCTATCTCTGATATAAAGTTCTCCTTCAAGAGCTGATGTAGTAATGTTCCAATATTATTGAGGTTTAACGTAGAACATTCATACTTTCCACCAAGTTTATAACATACCATCCATCTTTGTTGGGAGTTTATTTTAATTTTCTCTAAGAGTCTCATGAAAACCTTACCGAAATGTTTGTGTAAATAGTCTCTGTTTGGTTCATCTAAAGCTTCGATGTTAAAGTCAATGAGTCTATTGCCTGACTTCACATTTCTCTTCCTATTCTCTTCATCTTTCTTTAACCATCTCTCACCTTCTTTTGGTTTGTCGTCAATGGAACGAATGACATCGTTAGCTTTGCGAACTTGTTCTATAGCACTTTTAAACATCTCTCTTCTCTGTTGTTTCAGTGTGTCGTCTCTCTTTCGTGTTTCTCCAACGTTTGCATTTGTTATGTCAAACATCTCTTGACGAACATCATGCGAAAGAGCTTTACGAGTATGACCAACGTTTGCATTTGTTATGTCAAACATTTCTCTTCTTACTTCATGAGGTACTGAACGTCTATGATATAAGTCAATAGCAACGTCATTTAAAGGAAAAGTTCTTGCATTTATGAACTCATGAATTCTATCATAAGTTATTTCACCATTGTAGTCTTTAATGAAGTCAGCGAGTGCTTTTTTGTTTGTCGCGTAATGTTTTGCAACATCTATGTTAGCTTCTGTAAGAAGTTGTTTTATTTCCGAGTGTTCTAACTTAGACAACTTCCGATACATCTTTAGTAGGAAATAAAAAATATTTTTTGAAAAAATTAGATTAGATTTTTTTAAAGTTATTTTTCAAAATAATTTAATATTTTTATTTTAATGAAACACATGCAAGATTGCAAGTTCTTTTCATACAATGCTCTCGCTACTGCCATCAAGAATGAGTTCAATGGTGCTTCAAATGTTAATGTTATCTTTAACAAGAAGTTTGTGAAAGAATCTAAGTTTGGTCAGTATGTCAGACCATTAGCTATCGTCATTGACCGCAAACGTTATACTTCACAAGAATTAGCAGTAGTTTTGAAACAAAAGGGTTTCTTCGTGAATGTCAAAGATACACACTATACTATTATAAAGAACTCCAACATTGACTTCTTCAGTATTACTATGAATCTTTCCGAACAGAAAGAATATAAGAAGGGTGAAACAAATGTGAAATATTATCCTTCATCTCTGAAGACAATAACGAACAAAGATGTTATACAAAAATTCTTACAAAAGGTTGAAGAAGCTTCTATTGACATTGACGAAGGAAGTGAAATGGTTGAAGAAATTGACCCTGAAGCTATTTAAGCAAAAATATATTTTTGTTCATTCTTCCTCTTTGAAGTTGTCGAAATATTCTGTTATCTTTTCTTTCAGTAGCGGTAAGTCTTCTTTGAATGTAAGTATTGTACAACCGTTGATGTCATAGTGTGTTTGAGGAAGAGTATTTTTGACAATTTCCTTTATTTGCTCATTCGGTGTCATTGAAATCGGTAAGTTTTCACGATAGAACCAGTTTCTGTCAGATTTATATATTTTAGCGAGGTCATAAAAGCTCTTGTTGTTTCTTCTCACTAAATGCAACATAACCATATCTTTATCTTCTTCTTTCTCCAACTCTTCAGTATATATCATATACTTATAGCTTTTTTCCTTTCCTTTTGGTACTGAACGTGGTATTCTTTTCTGTATGCTTTTGTCTTTGGATTCAATGACTTCATCTTTTGCTTGAAGTTTCTTTTCCATCTCTCCACGTTCTGCTTTATATAGTTCATCTAACATCATGAAAATATAACAAGCATAACGAGGTGAAGCCCACATTGCTACAGCATTTACTAAAAGTCTATGAACATAATATCCTCTCAAACCAGGAGCCAAATTCTTGCGATTTTCGAATGGAATCTCTTCCCTCGGTTTTCCGAGGGTAGCAAACATATGAGGAAATTCTTCTAAAAGTTCTTTTGTCTGTTGGTTTTCAAACCAATGATATGCTTGCTTTGTAGAACGAAGAGCGTTCATTATACTTTGCATTTGGTACATGTCGTCTTTGACAGAACGAATGAGTCTCAATTGTTTGTTATACTGTATGTATTCGTATTCTTCATTTATGGTTTCATGAACGATAGCAGTTGTTGTGTTCTCTAATGTTGTCATTACTGTCTTTATATTCCAGATAAAAAAATAAATAAAAATAAAACTAACTTTATTTTTAAAATTTGTGAAAACTCAACGGTTTGACACATGCCATATGCCATTTTACTCAGAATTTTGTGCTGAATTCAGCAAAAATAATTTTTAGGTGAAGTGGTGAAATCTCACCTCTTTTCTCACCTCTTTTTTCACCTCTTTTTTCACCTCTTTTTTCACCTCTTTTTCACAAGCGTCTTACATGAATTGTACGATGTATATTTGAAATCCTAAACAATTTCGTAGCTTCTATTTCTTCGCTGAGGATATCAAAAGTTTTAACAATGCCGAAAGTCTCTTTATATTTCTTCTTGACGTCAGACAGAAGGAAATCTTCAGCTGTTGGATAGTTTTTATTAAGAAATGCTAACATGTCCATTTTATCTTCTGCTGGTTTCTCTACTTCTTTCTTTAAGTCAGCATAGTCGTTTCTCATACGTTCTATCTCTTTGACGGAGTAGTTATATTTCCTCATTGCTGCTTTACATTTAGAACATTGCGGATTCATTTTTGCGTTATACATTGAAATTTGACCTGCTAGAACAACTAAGGCGTCAATGGTTTTCTTTAACTCAAAAGTTGCGGGTTTTATTTGTCCGTTCCATACTTTACCTCTTCTATCTTTATCTCTTATCTGCCATACACATTCAGCAACTAATGAAACAAAGTTGTCGTATGTCTTAAACTCCTCCGATTTATATATGTCAGAAACATTCTTATATACCATATCGCAATCTTTGTCCATAACTTTATGGTTGCAATGATATCCTAGAAACTCATAATTTACTTTACGTATGAACTTCTTTATTTCAACTGAGTCAGTTAGTTTCACTTCAATTTCGTCGAATTCAGGAATAGTGAGCTTTTGTTGTTGAATTTCAGGTAGTTTGGGTAAATGTTCCACCAGATCCTCCATTTCATAAAGATACTGTTTATTTGTTTCATCTTTCGCACTACAGTCTAAATTACTTGTTAAAAGTTCTTGTTTGATCTTCTGGATTTCTGTTTCAAAAGTATATGAAGAAGGAATAAAGCTTTTCATCTCTACCAACATTGACGTAGGATTCATGACTAATGAATTTGGTGCTGTAGTTGTGGACAGAGTCCCGCCGTTCGTGGCTTGAATTGTTTTTGTGCCGATTGTTGAAAATCTTTTATACAAAATAAAAAAATAAATAAAAATAAAACTAACTTTATTTTTTCTATCTTAAGGAAATTCATGAATTTTCATGAGGGTGAAAAAAGAGGTGAAAAAACAGGTGAGATCTCACCTCTTCACCTAAAAATTATTTTTGGTCATGGGCTATGCCCCGCCGCTTCGGTCTGAAAGACCTTCAGGACTCAAAGAGTCCGTTTGAGTCTTTATGTTAAAATAAATGGTACCATTAATAATTCCATGATTGTTCTCATTCATGTCTGATTTACATCTAATGAAAAAGTTTAGATGAATTTTCTTATTCTTTCTGGCATATTTTTGTCTTTCCAATACTCCCGCTCTAATGGTCCCAGATGAGTTGGCTTTGACTCTCTCAAGTTCTTAGATGGTATAACATCTTCAACGCCTCCTTCATATCTTACTTTATAAGTGTCATCGTTTATGTTGTAGTCAAGTATTTCAATAACCACTCGCTTTGCTTCGTCAATGGTTTCAGCAAGTTTGCCATTACTACTTTCGACTAATTTATGACGAGGGTAAAATGCTATGGAGTCGTCAGCAGCTTTTATAAGATATCCATTACCTTGTGTAGAGTCTACGATATAATAATTTCGACTTAACCTTAAACGTTTCTTTGTCAATGGTTTGTCGTCAAGAACTACACGAACTTTTGTACCAGGAATGAGGGTAAATTGTGTTGAATTTCTGATATTTTGTGTTTGACTTCGTTTCTTTTGTATATACTTTTCTTCTTGTTGTTGTGTCATTGAATTTGGTGTATGTCCTGTTGTAGAATGTGTTGAGGAATTATATACTTCGAGAAAGTGTTTCATTGTTTCTTCGGTAAAGTCTCGCTCTTGATTTAAATCTCTGAGAGTCCTTATGAAGCGATTAATGATGCCGAGTATGTTATGGTTATGGTCTTCAGTGGTGTAGTGAGTTATGTTATGCTTAATGAGAAATTCTGTGATTTCGTTGCTGAGGTATGCACTGTCTTGGTCTGATGTTAAAGTACTTGGGTTATGTTCTGCTACAAACTTTTGTAAAACTCTTAACACTTCATGAGTTCCTTTATTTCTCATTATATACGCATATGCTTTACGAGTGTTAACATTTATGAAGATGAGGAATGGTTTATGTCCTCCTTTTCTGCTTTGAATGAGAGTGTCAAATTGGTATGCGTCAGGAGTGTTGGAGTAAATTGGTAAAAAGTAGTCGTAAGGATTTATTTTTGTTTGATGTACAACATTTTTGTAAAGAACCTTTTCACTTCAGCTCTGTTAGTAAATCCCGAACTCTTTGCAGCTTCATTGAATTTCTTAAAAGACCTCCATGGATGTTGTTCGAATACTTCTTTCAAGCTCATTTATGTAAAGTTAAAGATTTCATTGAACTCGGCACCATGCGAATACAGTCACAAATGGTGGCATATAATCTTCACCCGAGCCTGTTGGATTTGTTGTGAAAGTGTGTGAATGATTTCCTCCTGGTTCAGTTGGTCGAAAAATCTTTTTTGCTGCATTGTTATAAGATGGAGATAAAACGTCATTGCCAGCTTCATATTCTGAGTTGTATAATGGTGGTCTCTTAATGAGTGGCTATGGTCGCCAGAAAAGTTTGTAGTTCCTGTATGAGTGTGCGGTGGAAGGTTTGCTTCTTTAATTTTCTTCGAACCACCTGTTTGCTTTGAAGAGTTCGCACAATAGAGGAATTTATCTACAATCTGTTCCCACGTACCAAAACCTAAAACACTTGCCGGATTTGTTGAATTCATTGACGTATAAATAGAGCCTATAGGATATATGGTTTCAAGAATCTGAGTCTTCATTGTTAGAAGTTCATGTTTAACGTTTATAGTTTTATTGCCTTCTACAATATTTATATTGTTTGTTATTAAACCATTAGGAAAAGTAGGAGGATAAATTCTTTGTTCTTGTACAGTTGCACCGTCTCTTCCTGTTTTTGTTACTATTTCGGTGCATGCCTTAATTTCTTTAATCTTGATTGTTTGAAATTCTTCATGCACGTGCTCTTTATCGGCTTTTCCATTAAGCGCAGCATTTACTTCCGACTTCTTTGCATAATTTTCATCTACATAAGTTTTGTCGGCTTTCTTATCATATAAATCTTGAGCAGTGAATTTAACGTTATTTTCATCATCCATGACATAAACATTTCTACATCTAATGTCTTTCTTCGTTGTTATGTTTTCATTCGATGTTAAACCTTGTGGAAAGTTAGGAGGTTTACAATATAATGCATCCCCATCAGTTCCTTCAACCGTTCCTTCAATACTTTCTATACCAACAGTAGTGAAGGATTCATGTGTATGGTTTTTGTCTGCTTTGTTGTCTAAAGAAGTTTGAAGTTCATTTATATCGGAGATATTGTGTTTATGAGATTTCAAAACTTTGTTCATTGCTTCGAGTTCATCTTTGTCAGCTTTACTTTTAATAGCATCTTCAAACGTTATTTTTGCCTTAACTCTCAAAGTAAATCTTGGTTCAACTAATACACCTTTAACAGAGAAAGTAGAGGCATAAATTTCATCGTTATAACCAAATGTTTGTGGTGCTTTACCCGTGTCATACTGTACAGTACAGCTTATGTCATAACCTTTAGCACGAATGAATTTATATCTTCTTTCATTGGGGTCTTCCGTCTTCACTTCATCACTTCGTGTTAAATATCCATGGTAGTCCGTTATAATCTGTTCGTCTGAAGTTATATAATGAACGTGGTTCTTGACTTTATCACTCAGAGCTAAAAGCTCATTTTTGTCTGCTTTTTCGGCTAATTTCTCATTAACATCATTCACTTCTAATTCAACTCTTCCGCCAGAACTCTTATTATCATTAATCTTTTTCATTAATTCGGTAATTACGTCATAAAGACTATATTCTGTTTTCGGTTTTGTAAATAATGAGTCAAAATTTCTTTTCATCATTACATCGCTGACATTAATGATATCACCAATTCCTTTTTCATTTATTCTCTTCATTAATTCTGCAATAATGACGAATATATAATCTGTTAATTTATTCTCTTCATCGAGGGTTATAGAATGTTTTGAAATTGAATCATTAACTCCTCTAAATAAATCAATAACTTCAGGATACACGTTTTTAATGTCTCGAATAACCCGACCAGTATCCTCTGGTTTCTTCTCTTCTTCGTTCCCGTCGTTACGTGGTTTTATATCTCTAACCATCATCAACGCAGCCATAACCGGAGGGTTTGTTGCTACCTGTTCGAAAATCTGACCGTTATGTATGGTATATCTAAATAATTTCTTTGTGTTTGTTAAAACATTTGAAACAAGTCTTTTAAAACCATCTACAAAATTTCCTGTTTCACCTAATGTTCTTGCAGCATTTACAAGCTCACCCATTCCCGCTTTTGACCCCAAAAACGTCCATATTGCATTTATTTCACTCTGTATAGTTGTCCATTCAGCAAAATTAATACCCGCATTCGCTAAGCTGAAAATGAAATTCAGTGGATCGAACTTAATTCCACCTTCTTTTTCAATTTCAACGAACTCACTAACATGAGATTTTAAGTATTCTTTCGTTAAAATTGTTTTCCCCGATGTTATGTCATTAACGAAACTATCACCGTCAAAAGTTAACGAATTCGATTTCGTCGTTGATGCTTTTATTTCATACACCGCTTTATCAATAGTTTTTGGCTCACCTTCTTTAGAAGCATATGAAACATTAATGAATGAATTATATGTATTCGTGAATGAGTTAAAATCAATGATTTTCATTAATGACGCCTTTAATGATTCATTTACTGTCGAATCCCTTAAAGTAATTAATGAACTGTCATTTATGAAAGGTACACTACAAACCGTCGAGTTTGGATCAAATGCTGTAGTTGGTGCAGGAATATTAATGATATAAGTCATTAAATCATTAAGTGACGTAAATAATGTTGTCGTTTTTGATTTAATTTCTTTAGCATCTGTTATATATGGTAATTTTATTTCTGTAGTTTCTGAATTAAAGATATTCGCTAAAATGTTTTGTAAACTGTTTTGAACAGCTGTGTAAACCGTTGAATCCGGAACTCTTACGATTTCACCGTCCTTAATAAAAGGCATTGCACATGGTGTAGTGCTTGGGTCAAATCTTTCGGGATTATAATTCAACATATATTCTAACGCTTCATGAACAGACTTATATACTGTTGTGTCGTTCTTCATGACAACTTCACCATTTACAATGAATGGCATAGTACATGGAGTTAAAATGGGGTCAAACTTTTCATAGTCCTTCCATGTTATGTATTTCTCGGTATTTCCATCAGAAATAACAATATATTTGTCAGTAAGTGTGAGAGAGTATTGACCAAAATATAAACGTTTAGCTCTGTCAGCTTCATACGCATATGCAGCTATACTCATATTTTAATGAGAATAAAATGTTGTTCTATTTGCAAAGTACAGACCCAAACGAATACGGGACAGTAAAGCTACAAACAAACTTAGGTCTACAGAATGAGCCACTTGCATTCAGAATGGTTGACTTCAATACTATCGCTTCATTCGTTATAACAGATGAAACAGATTTCATGGAGCTTGAAATAGATGGAAAGAAGCACGAAATAAGATTTCACAATAATGTAGAATATAAGATGGAAACATTAGCTGGAGTGTTAAATGCTCTCATAAATACTACAATAAACAAGGATAACGAAGAAAACTTAATGAATGTTAAACTTATTGCAGGAGTTTTGAAGTTCAGTTATGCGAAGGAGTTTAAGATACCAAGAATGAGTCATAGAGTACAACTTCTTTTGGGTGCATACCATATGACATTTCCTTTGAAAAGTGTTGACAAAACGATTGAGATGAAATCTGTTCCATACGTATGTTATGGTAATTGTTTGTACATTGAGTCAAAAATAGCTAATGTCACAGGTATTTCAGGAGTTAATAGTAAAGGTTCAGTAGAATATAAGTCTTTCTGTTATGCAGTCAATTCAATGTTCATTCCAAACGTTCCTGTCATAGCAACTCATTTAGGTAAATGGGTTCGCATTAGTCCTCATAATTTGAAAGACATGCAATTTAGACTAGTTGACTTTCAAGGCGAGCCTGTAGAACTGAAGGCACCAGTGCGAATGACTGTTGAAGTTGACTTTTTAGAAAATATTAAATGCAACAGCTTACAAGAGAACTCAGAGCTAAAAATATAAAGTATGAATGTTATGTATTAGATCATGAACTTTGGTTGTTGCTGTTTGATGAAACAAATGAGTTAGTTATGTCAGTCAAGAGAACAGAAAAATATTGTGTTAGTGAAAACTGCACCAAGTCAATAAGATTAGGTTTGCATTATGAAGATGAGTTCGATACTGTTGAAGAAGTTTTGGATAGATACTATAAGTTGCTTTAATTTACTAAAACATATTTCAAACAAAGCTTATATTCTGTTGAAAGTTTTGTATACTCGTTCGAATATTTATACTTAAACTCAACTCCTGTAGTTCCTGGTATTTCAATGATGCGGATGTTACCTATTTTCATGAATATTGGAGTTTGACCACAGCATTCGATTTCAGGGTCGAGATAGTCAATGACACATTGCTTTCCTGTTATTCGTGAGATAACATTTTCAAGGTCCTCCTTTGTTAGAATTATTTGGTTCTTACTTATAAGATTTATCAAAAGCTTCTTATCGTCTTTGAGTAAAATTGTTTGGTATAACTGAAGAAGGTAATGGTCTACGTTATCTGAAGGATTTGTTTGAACATTTGTGTAAGGGTTGTCGTTGACTTCTCTTGAAAGAATTTGGTCCAGTGGTGGATACTCTAACTTAACATCTGATGTAGCGTTAGCGTTTGAAGCTGTGTTTAAATTTACGGCGCCATGCGCCATGATGGGCTCTTTGAGCCCTCCGGATTTCAGTTCTGGTTCTTTTTCTTTCAAACACTCTGAACTATAGTTCTTTATGACAATATTGTTTGTCGTTCGTGAGTCAACATTTGATGTTGGTTCAATTGGAACATTAACGGCACCAGCTAAGATGGATTTGCTTCTCATTTCATATAGAATAAAAACCTTTTATATGTATGAAATGAACAATATACTCGACAAGGGTTTGAATGTAAAGCTAACGAATGAAAATATTGTTGAATTCACTGAGACAGGTGCTGTGTATAAAGATGTAGAACTACTGAACAAAAGAGCAAAGGGAAGAAGCAGGAACATGAACAAAGGGTGGAAGCCTATAAAAATTTATGTCAATGATGGCTCAGGAGGTTCAAACATAAAGTATGCAGAAAGTTATAGAGTTTATGCTCTCAAAGGTGAAAAGCCTTCATTTAAGAACAGCTATTCTAACGCATATCCTCAAAAGCTAACGGATGGGGAAGTGGATGATATGAATGACAGCAAAAATATTAACAGAAATGGCGACAGAGATGCATGGAATTTGTTTACCATCAGTCAATTAAAGCATAAGATTTAAAACAATGTTGGTCGTTCCCATGGAATATTTTTGACTTTAATGGTATTAGTCATGATATGAATCTCAAGGTATGAACGAGGAGAGATGAGAGACTTATATGCTTCCCAAATTTCTTCAAAAGGTAATGTTATACCTGACTGTTTCCAAATGAGTTCAATATCATAACGTGAGAAACCTTGAAAGATAACGAAGTCAGTTATGAGACGTTTTATGTTTAAAGCAAGGAAACGCCATGTTTGCATAAGTATTGCTACAGTTAAATGGTAATGTCTGACTTTAGTAATGATGTTAGCTAATGGTGAGTCAGGCTTTGACACTAAACCTTTTCCGGCGAAGTCGTCACAAACGAGCAGAGTGTTTGAAGGATACTTTTTGAAGGGGTATTTTGAAAGTTTTGATAGAATGTAGTTTGTAAGTCGTTTCATATCGTAAACTCCTGAGTATTGACGTAAGTGGTGTTTGTCAATAATTCTTTCCATCTCTTCTGAAGTCTTTTGCATTCCTGACTGTATGAACTCTACAATAGCATAATATTTTCTCTTACGTCGAATGTAACGTTGAAGAAATTCAATGAGTTCGCTATCTGGAACTTTAACGACGGAGGCTTGAACTTTTGACATGAATGTTTTCGCTGTTGAATCCATAGAGTCTGAAGTTGCTGATATAATGATTTGGTCATAGTAAGAGTCGTTTCCTAAACGCTCTGTTATGAGTATATGACGAATGAGGTTAAATGTCTTACCTGAACCCATCTTTCCACAATAGAAATACACACCATTTGAACAGAACTCATAATCTTTGCTGAAAGGAAGAATGAGAGAAGAGTTAAGTTTGTCTGTAGTTTCATTCATGTCTTCATCTACGTCATGTATTAAATGCTTCATTTTATCTCCATTAAAAATGCAAGTCAGAAATATTCAGAACATAGCACCGAGTCTAACTGACAAGAGTATAAAGATATACTATGAACACGTTATGATGAAACCAACCAAAATTCAAGAAAGTCAGTATACTTATGAATATCCAAGACACTGGGTAGAGTATGTAGGAGGTGAGAAAGCTATTGAAATAAGACAAGTTAGAAGTATTCCAGCAGGAAGGACAATATTATTGAAGAACTTTAATGTTTTGAGATATAATGATGAAACAAAGAAGCAAGATAGTTTCCCTGTTGCTGTGTATGTGAACTTAGATACAGGAGATGACATGAAAGTTTTTAACACAAAGCTTCAAATGGTAGTGAGAGAACAACTGACTGCGGAAGGGCATCCATTACCTTCAGAAGTAGTTAGTATACCTAAGTTGTGTACTGAGGCACTGCGCGCCTCCATACACCACTTAGCGGTTTTGACACTTTACGAAACCGTTAACGTATATTTTACAACACAAACGACAACACTAACTTAACCTTAAATATTTATAAAACCGCCAACCACTTCACCTCACTAATGAAAAAATAAACGTTTTCACTAACGAACTCACTAATGAAAAAATAAACGTTCTCACTTACAAACGTATTGCAACTCCTCCCATTGCTGTGCTTCACATAACAGCTCATAATCTTCTGACTCACTTTCTTCTTCATATAGGTCAAAGTCACTGTCAAAATAAATGTTAGTAAGTTTTGACAAAGCTAATGAAACACGTTTACCGTTTGTATCGTATGCTTGTATAAACTTTCCATTCTTCATTCCTTCATAAACGCTCAAACTAACTTTACCTTTTCTCCCTCGTATCTGATAGAATGTATTTTCACGAGGAACGAAGAACAAATTCTTGAACTCATGACCGTTGTAGTTTGTTATCTCAATAGTTTTCGTCATTTACATAAAAATAAAATAAAAATAAAATAAAAAATAAACTTAAAATTAATGATATCACCACTCCCACACGTATGAAAACATAGCGCAAAAATAAATTTAGGTGAAGTGGTGAAATCTCACCTCTTTTTTCACCTCTTTTTTCACCTCATGAATTCATTGCTTTATAACTCTCTTCCTTGGTTTCTTTTTAGTTGCTTTCTTCACGTCTGTCTCCAACTTGACTGTCTTTCTTCTTCGTCCGTAATGATACCAGTTACTTCCACCAGTCAATGGGTCAAATGGTCTTTCGTAAGGGTTTCCATACATTCCATAGGGACCATACGGAAGAACTGCTGGTGGAGGAAGAGTTCCATCGACTCTATTTAAATGCATTGTTTCACCTTTCATCTGGTCATTAAAGTCTTTTGCGTGTTTTGAAAACTCATCGTCCTTTCCTAAAGCATTTTCCGACTCAGTCGCAACCAAATTGGATGCTTTATTTATGAGCCCTATTTTATTTAATCTTAACTTCTTTGCAACCCAGCCTCCAATCTTCCCTTTATTTGCATCTAATGTCTTCGAAACCCTTCCTCCACTCATTTTATTTACTGCGTCATAAGCTCCAAGTGCTTTTGCTCCAAATGCTAATGCTTTTGTTCCCATTGCGCCTAAAGCTGCCCAAGCTACCATTTACACCATATTAAAATCATCTCTCTTCAATATTATCTCATAAAAGTTCTCGTTACTGGAGAAAGTCAATGAAACATAAACATTCTCACGGGCTTCGCCCTCACCGCTTTGCGGTCTATCTAACTTCTTTCTTATCTCATCTATTCGCTTCAAAATGTCTGAACAATTGCTAACATCTTCTACAACAGTTATTTCATCATGACTGACCTTCAAGAACAAGCTCATTTAATATGCAATTAAAATCATCTCAATAATGAGTCCATCCTTTCCATCTTTAGGTAGCACAACATCTTTCATTGAAGAAGGTTCGACAAGTCTTATGTTAAACTTACTGACAAAGTTTGTTATACTATAATGCTTCGGTGGCGAATACATGTAGTTTGAAAGACATAATATAGATTCTTCAGCAAATTCACTTATACTGGATTTTATAACAATGTTCTCACGAGACCAAAATACCACCAATTGACAATCTTGTAAGCAATCCTGCTGAACCTTCTACTGTAAACATCGATGGTAACATTCCACGAAGGTCATCTATTGACATCGTTGAGTCACTGAATTTAAATATTTTCTTAAAGCAATCGTCATTATCTAACCATGCAATAGCTTTGAAGTTTTCATTCGAATATACATCTGCTTCATTAAATGTAAAACCTGACTTCTTTGCAGAGATGACTTTAAAATCTATTGAGTTTGTTTCAAAATTATATGCTATGGTAACTTCTGAAGGTAATGGATGCCCTTCCGCAGTAAGTTGTTCTCTCACTACCGTTTGAAGCTTTGTGTTAAAAACTTTCATGTCATCTCCTGTGTCTAGGTTCACATACACAGCAATGGGAAAACTATCTTGCTTCTTTGTTTCATCATTATACCTCAAAACATTAAAGTTCTTCAATAATATTGTCCTTCCTGCTGGAATACTTCGAACCTGTCTGATTTCAATAGCTTTCTCACCTCCTACATACTCTACCCAGTGTCTTGGATATTCATAAGTATACTGACTTTCTTGAATTTTGGTTGGTTTCATCATAACGTGTTCATAGTATATCTTTATACTCTTGTCAGTTAGACTCGGTGCTATGTTCTGAATATTTCTGACTTGCATTTTTAATGGAGATAAAATGAAGCATTTAATACATGACGTAGATGAAGACATGAATGAAACTACAGACAAACTTAACTCTTCTCTCATTCTTCCTTTCAGCAAAGATTATGAATTCTGTTCAAATGGTGTGTATTTCTATTGTGGAAAGATGGGTTCAGGTAAGACATTTAACCTCATTCGTCATATACTCATAACAGAGCGTTTAGGTCAAGATCCATATTATGACCAAATCATTATATCAGCAACTTCAGACTCTATGGACTCAACAGCGAAAACATTTATGTCAAAAGTTCAAGCATCTGTCGTTAAAGTTCCAGATAGCGAACTCATTGAATTTCTTCAACGTTACGTTCGACGTAAGAGGAAATATTATGCCATCGTTGAATTTATACAGTCAGGAATGCAAAAGACTTCAGAAGAGATGGAAAGAATTATTGACAAACACCACTTACGTCAATACTCAGGAGTTTACGATATGAAACGACTTACAAACTACATTCTGTCAAAACTTTCAAAATACCCCTTCAAAAAGTATCCTTCAAATACTCTGCTCGTTTGCGACGACTTCGCCGGAAAAGGTTTAGTGTCAAAGCCTGACTCACCATTAGCTAACATCATTACTAAAGTCAGACATTACCACTTAACTGTAGCAATACTTATGCAAACATGGCGTTTTCTTGCTTTAAACATAAAACGTCTCATAACTGACTTCGTTATCTTTCAGGTTTCTCACGTTATGATATTGAACTCATTTGGAAACAGTCAGGTATAACATTACCTTTTGAAGAAATTTGGGAAGCATATAAGTCTCTCATCTCTCCTCGTTCATACCTTGAGATTCATATCATGACTAATACCATTAAAGTCAAAAATATTCCATGGGAACGACCAACATTGTTTTAAAGTTTAACCTTCAATTGACTGATGGTAAACAAATTCCATGCATCTCTGTCGCCATTTCTGTTAATATTTTGCTGTCATTCATATCATCCACTTCTCCATCCGTTAGCTTTTGAGGATATGCGTGTAGAATAGCTGTTCTTAAATGAAGGCTTTTCACCTTTGAGAGCATAAACTCTATAACTTTCTGCATACTTTATGTTTGAACCTCCTGAGCCATCATTGACATAAATTTTTATAGGCTTCCACCCTTTGTTTCATGTTCCTGCTTCTTCCCTTAGCTCTTTTGTTCAGTAGTTCTACATCTTTATACACAGCACCTGTCTCAGTGAATTCAAACAATATTTTCATTCGTTAGCTTTACATTCAAACCCTTGTCGAGTATATTGTTCATTTCATACATATAAAAGGTTTTTATTCTATATGAAATGAGAAGCAAATCCATCTTAGCTGGTGCCGTTAATGTTCCAATTGAACCAACATCAAATGTTGACTCACGAACGACAAACAATATTGTCATAAAGAACTATAGTTCAGAGTGTTTGAAGAAAAAGAACCAGAAACTGAAATCCGTGAATTTAAACTCAGCTTCAAACGCTAACGCTACATCAGATGTTAAGTTAGAGTATCCACCACTGGACCAAGTTCTTTCAAGAGAAGCCAACGACAACCCTTACACAAATGTTCAAACAAATCCTTCAGATAACGTAGACCATTACCTTCTTCAGTTATACCAAAACAATTTTACTCAAAGACGATAAGAAGCTTTTGACAAATCTTATAAGCAAGAACCAAATAATTCTAACAAAGGAGGACCTTGAAAATGTTATATCACGAATAACAGGGAAAAATGTGTCATTGACTATCTCGACCCTGAAATCGAATGCTGTGGTCAAACGCCACCATTCATGAAAATAGGTAACATCCGCATCATTGAAACACCAGGAACTACAGGAGTTGAGTTTAAGTATAAATATTCGAACGAGTATACAAAACTTTCAACAGAATATAAGCTTTGTTTGAAATATGTTTTAGTAAATTAAAGCAATTTGTAATATCTATCCAAAACTTCTTCAACAGTATCGAACTCATCTTCATAATGCAAACCTAATCTTATTGACTTGGTGCAGTTTTCACTAACACAATATAGCGCTTTGCGCTCGGCGCCTTTGACGCCTTTTTCTGTTCTCTTGACTGACATAACTAACTCATTTGTTTCATCAAACAGCAATAACCAAAGTTCATGACCTAATACATAACATTCATACTTTATATTTTTAGCTCTGAGTTCTCTTGTAAGCTGTTGCATTTAATATTTTCTAAAAAGTCAACTTCAACAGTCATTCGCACTGGTGCCTTCAGTTCTACAGGCTCTCCTTGAAAGTCAACAAGTCTGAATTGCATGTCTTTCAAATTATGAGGACTAATGCGAACCCATTTACCTAAATGAGTTACTATGACAGGAACGTTTGGAATGAACATTGAATTGACTGCATAACAGAAGGATTTATATTCTACTGAACCTTTACTATTAACTCCTGAAATACCTGTGACATTAGCTATTTTTGACTCAACGTATAAACAATTACCATAACATACGTATGGAACAGATTTCATCTCAATCGTTTTGTCAACACTTTTCAAAGGACATGTCATATGGTATGCTCCCAGAAGCAATTGAACTCTATGACTCATTCGTGTTATCTTAAACTCCTTCGCATAACTGAACTTCAAAACTCCTGCAATAAGTTTAACATTCATTAAGTTTTCTTCGTTCTCCTTGTTTATTGTAGTATTTATGAGCGCATTTAACACTCCAGCTAATGTTTCCATCTTATATTCTACATTATTGTGAAATCTTATTTCGTGCTTCTTTCCATCTATTTCAAGCTCCATGAAATCTGTTTCATCTGTTATAACGAATGAAGCGATAGTATTGAAGTCAACAACTCTGAAAGCAAGCGCTTCATTCTGAAGACCTAAGTTTGTTTGTAGCTTTACTGTCCCGTATTCGTTTGGGTCTGTACTTTGCAAATAGAACAACATTTTATTCTCATTAAAATATGAGTATTGCTGCATATGCGTATGAAGCTGACAGAGCTAAACGTTTATATTTTGGTCAATACTCTCTCACACTTACTGACAAATATATTGTTATTTCTGATGGAAATACCGAGAAATACATAACATGGAAGGACTATGAAAAGTTTGACCCTATTTTAACTCCATGCACTATGCCATTCATTGTAAATGGTGAAGTTGTCATGAAGAACGACACAACAGTTTATAAGTCTGTATATGAAGCGTTAGAATATATGTTGAATTATAATCCCGAAAGATTTGACCCAAGCACTACGTCATGTACAATGCCTTTTATTAAGGATGGTGAAATCGTAAGAGTTCCGAATTCAACGGTTTACACAGCTGTTCAAAACAGTTTACAAAACATTTTAGCGAATATCTTTAATTCAGAAACTACAGAAATAAAATTACCATATATAACAGATGCTAAAGAAATTAAATCAAAAACGACAACATTATTTACGTCACTTAATGATTTAATGACTTATATCATTAATATTCCTGCACCAACTACAGCATTTGATCCAAACTCGACGGTTTGCAGTGTACCTTTCATAAAGTCGCAAACGGACTCTTTGAGTCCTGAAGGTCTTTCAGACCGAAGCGACCAGGGCGAAGCCCATGACAGTTCATTAATTGTTTTAAGGGATTCAACAGTTAATGAATCATTAAAGGCGTCATTAATGAAAATCATTGATTTTAATTCATTCACGAATACATATAATTCATTCATTAATGTTTCATATGCTTCTAAAGAAGGTGAGCCAAAAACTATCGATAAAGCGGTGTATGAAATAAAAGCATCAACGACGAAATTGAATTCGTTAACTTTTGACGGTGATAGTTTCGTTAATGACATAACATCGGGGAAAACAATTTTAACGAAAGAATATTTAAAATCTCATGTTAGTGAGTTCGTTGAAATTGAAAAAGAAGGTGGAATTAAGTTCGATCCACTGAATTTCATTTTCAGCTTAGCGAATGCGGGTGTTAGTTTCGCTGAATGGACAACTATACAGAGTGAAATAAATGCAATATGGACGTTTTTGGGGTCAAAAGCGGGAATGGGTGAGCTTGTAAATGCTGCAAGAACATTAGGTGAAACAGGAAATTTTGTAGATGGTTTTAAAAGACTTGTTTCAAATGTTTTAACAAACACAAAGAAATTATTTAGATATACCATACATAACGGACGGATTTTCGAACAGGTAGCAACAAACCCTCCGGTTATGGCTGCGTTGATGATGGTTAGATATAAAACCACGTAACGACGGGAACGAAGAACATGAACAACAGAGCCCAACGGGCTCAGAGCCACATAGTGGCGAGGATACTGGTCGGGTTATTCAAGACATTAAAAACGTGTATCCTGAAGTTATTGATTTATTTAGAGGAGTTAATGATTCAATTTCAAAACATTCTATAACCCTCGATGAAGAGAATAAATTAACAGATTATATATTCGTCATTATTGCAGAATTAATGAAGAGAATAAATGAAAAAGGAATTGGTGATATCATTAATGTCAGCGATGTAATGATGAAAAGAAATTTTGACTCATTATTTACAAAACCGAAAACAGAATATAGTCTTTATGACGTAATTACCGAATTAATGAAAAAGATTAATGATAATAAGAGTTCTGGCGGAAGAGTTGAATTAGAAGTGAATGATGTTAATGAGAAATTAGCCGAAAAAGCAGATAAAAACCACGTTCATTATATAACTTCAGACGAACAGATTATAACGGACTACCATGGATATTTAACACGAAGTGATGAAGCGAAGACAAAAAATGTTAATGAAAGAAGATATAAATACATTCGTGCTAAAGGTTATGACATAAGCTGTACTGTACAGTATGACACAGGTAAAGCACCAGAAGCATTTAGTTATAACGATGAAATTTATGCCTCTACTTTCTCTGTTAATGGTGTATTAGTTGAACCAAGATTTATGTTAAGAGTTAAGGCAAAAATAACGTTTGAAGATGCTATTAAAAGTAAAGCTGACAAAGTTGAACTTGACGCAACGAACAAAGTTTTGAAATCTCATAAACACAACATCTCCGATATAAATGAACTTCAAACTTCTTTAGACAGTAAAGCTGACAAGAACCATACACATAAATCCTTCACTACTGTTAGAGCAGACGACATAATATTGAACTTTGACCTTGGTTCAAGTGCACCATTAGAAAAATCCAAGTACAAGCGTAAAAGATACTCTTAACAGTTTAGATAACAGTTGCAGGAACATTGAAAGTCATGCCAGAAACTTTGAAGCACATGAACTACCAGCAATGTTAGATAAGAAAGCAGACAAGAACCATACACATAAATCCTTCACAACTGTTGCTATAGAAAGTATTGAAGGAACGGTTGAAGAAACTGGTGGGGATGCATTATATTGTAAACCTCCTAACTTTCCACAAGGTTTAACATCGGATGACGACATAACGACGATGAGAAACATTAGATGTAAAGATGTTTATGTCATGAAGGATGAACATAATATTAAATTCACTGCTCAAGATTTATATGACAAGAAAGCAGACAAGAACCATACACATAAATCCTTCACTACTGTTAGAGCAGACGACATAATATTGAACTTTGACCTTGGTTCAAGTGCACCTTTAGAGAATCCGAGTACAAGCGTAAA